GTATACAAGGCCTCGGATTTTCATGTACACACTGAGTAGGGAGAAAGTAAAGAATATACCACAGTGTAAAATGATTTTAAACAATGTTCCCTAAAAATACTAAGGAAATCAGGTTTCAAGCAGGCCAGCCTTTGACATCTACTAGATGAATCTCTCTCAAACATTTGCTTGGAATCAACATATTTTGCATATAATGACCTTCACACAAACATGGCTCTCATATTTCTGCCATAGCAAATGTTGATTTTGAAGGAATGTTAGCAATATTGTTTTACCTATGGGATATTTGGGTTTTAATCAAGAGGTTTTGCAATGACAGCTTATAATGAGGCAGCTGGTATTACCAAAAAAGCCATATGGAACTATCGCAGTGCTACTGCAAATGGTATCAATTAACTGGTTCATTTTCTAAACTTTCATTTAAGTGAGTTTGATCACAGAGGCCTCGGGAAAACAAACAATGTTTTATTGGGGGGGAAGAGAGAACAAAAGAGGACAGAAACATGATAAAAATAGATTCTATTTCTAAATTAAATTAGAAAAAAAAATGAAGGGCGATATTCACATCTAAAAATCTATAATGAGAGATCTAGTGAATATAAACAGCCTTTTCCTTTCATTGATTTATAAGCAGATTAAGTTAGATGATTTCCATATGTGAGAGGATTTAGATACATGTCTTTTCAATATCTTCATTTATCCTAGGCAAGTTTTAAAAACTGGTAATAGCAACAATACTCTTGTAGAAATAATCAATAGGAGAGAGATTATAAAAGCATATTTGAGAACTAAGAAAATACTCCTTACTTTTTAGTGATTATGTCAAACTCAATGTTCAAGTCTCGTTCTCTTTTTTTTTTTTTAAAGGAAATAAATTGGATATCGAACCACAATTTGTGAAAGTTCTGAGGCCTCCTAATTGAGAGGGTCCACAACTGATTAAGAACATATATGAAATTAAAATTCTCAAGTGAAGCAAGCAAATTAAAGAATGCAGCCTTTGAGGGAGCAAGTAATACAAAACTGGTATGGAAATTAATCAACATACGTGGCTTATCTGTGAGATTAGCATTCTGATAAACAAAATGAGATTTTTGTGGTGGTTTACTATTTTTGTGACATGTAGTCCTTCAGATTTTGTAAAATAGTAAATTTTAAAATTTACTATTTTAAAGTAAGAATAATATTTTCAGGGGCCAGCCAGCAAGAGGCACAATGGTTGGAGCACTGGAGTCCCATATGGCCAACCGCCATTCAAGTACTAGACCTGGCAGCTTCAAAAACATGCCAGGCAGGTGTGCTTGCATGCCCAAAATCCCAGGAGGAGAATGAAGAAGGGATTATGGCACGGATATCCTGGGGGCGGGGAGAGGATTTCTCACGTTCTCTCTCTCTCTCTGGTGAGCCCATATACCCTATAGGGGGAGGTAGAGTTTTAAAAGCTACCATTTGAACAGAATCCTAACCTGTTTCCTGGCTTTAAGCAAAGTTCCTTGGTGTTTCTTTGATTTAAGTTAAAACTGGTTTTCTTAGTAGTAATGAGTGAACTTACCATTGAAAGTAGTTAGATTATGTAGGAAATTTGTAAGATCAATGCAATGTGGGTGGGAAGGGAATGAAGGACAACTGTGGACACCAGAGGTGGTGTGAGAGGAGGGTGGGAAGGGACAGAGGGTCAGAAAGAGGGGTGGAAATAATTCTAGAAACTAGAAATGGAAAATTTTTTGTGATGTGCATGATTGAGCCACTATGCAGTGTGTACTGGATGGGAGATCGCATTCTGTGTGCTGTGATGATGCTTAGGGAAGGAATGTAAATTGAGTTACAAAAAAAAAAAAAGTTTCAGGAAAAAAAATATATCTATTCAATGACTGCAGTAGGATATGTAGCCCCAGCTAGGTGCTACTTTATAGGATGTGTAAAGTTAGACTTGTGCTCATGGAAATGTGTGTGTCACCTGTGTTTGCTATGAGGATATTTGGATTGATGAGGGTCCTTGGTGATTCAATAAAATGTGGGGGGAAAACAGTATAGAAAGCAAACATAGATACCAGAGACAGTGTGGGAGGAGAGTGGGAGATGGCAGAGGGTAAGAGATAGGGAATCAAGGACGAGGGGGAAAAACAAAACATACAGAAAACAAGAAATGGAAGATCATTTGCAGACAATAACATGTTTGTTGATGTGCTTGATTGAGACAATATACAGTGTACTCTGATGGAAAATCTCATTTTGTATGCTGTAATGATGTACAGTGAATGAATGCAAATAAATAAATTGAAATAAGAAAATAAATAAATAAAAGCTAAGTGTAGTAGAAAGAGGACTGGACCCGTAGATTGCTGTTTGAGCTCCAAATCTCCTATTAACCACTTGGGGTAGGTTGGGCAAGTCATGTGAAATCACTGGGCCTCACTTTTTTTGTTACATAAACTAGGAAGGTTAAATTAGATGACCTTTAAAGTTCCTATTTGTTTAATATCCTATGAATCGACAGAAAAATGCTAACCACCTCAGCAGTCATTATGATAAACCTAGTAACAGATACCATAAAACAGTACAGTATGGCTAACCTCATAAGCTTCAGAGGAGTTAAGACTGCCTAGATTCAAAACCAAGTTCCATTTCCTATAAGCAGTATGACCTTATAGACGTTGGTCAGCTTCTCTAAATTTTATTCATAAATGGGGATATCATTAGCATGTAGCTTAGTGCAGCACTGTGACTCACAGGAGCTAACGTGCCCTATGAACTTAGTGTGGTGCTGTCATGCATTAAGGATTCTGTTGGGCTGTCAGAAGTAAGTCACCATGCATTTTTGCATAGAAAACTATAGGAAAAATACGTCATGACTTTTCCAGCAACCCAATATAGTGTTGGTTGGTATTATTATTACTGTTAATAGGATAGAAAATGTTTTTTCCTGTCAATTTTATCATGTAAGAATTTTTCTGCAATGATACAACCAGAATAGTTATTTCATGATAATAAAATATAAAACATAAAAATAACTATAAAACTTAGCATGGTACCTGATGATGAATCCAGTATATGTAACATCTTTTAAGAGTCATGGATCCCTTTAAACCTGATAAATACCGTAGACTTCAACAAAATGCACATAAACCCTCAAAGACAAAATGTTTCAAAAGACATACGGACCTCCAAAGTCCACTCTTGGATGTCTGTCCCAGGTTTAGAATCCATGCTCAGAATCACTGATTGTAAGTTGAGGCTAGATTGCAAAATAGGCTAGATTTGACCTACAGGAATATTCTGTTGGCCTGCACAGGGCCTTAAAGTTTATCAGTGTGAAGGCCCGTTACAGAGTAAACTCTCTAGTCCACCATACGCTCTGGGATTAATTACAGACAGTTTCACTCTTTTTGGTTATTTCCCTGATCTTTGTAGGCCTGAGTTTGTGACTCTTGATTTACACAGTTCAGAACCTACTCTGTAAAATAGTGGGTTATTTGGCATTCACTCCAATAACCTAGCGGGCCTTTTTGTAATAAGGAAATTGGCAGGGTAAAAACTAAACACATCTTCCTGACTCCCCTGCAGTTAGGCCACGCAGATAAATAGGAGACTTGGGAAGTAGATTAGAGTAACGTGAAGTGGCAGCTACAGTAGAGGGATCAGATTTTCTGCATGGAAGAAGGCGAAAGTCTTTGGTTTTCCTGGACAGTTATGAGAAGAGTTGTAGACCGAGTCCAGGGGTTGGCACATCTAACTCATTAACTATTTTTATAAATATAGTTTCACTGGGTCACAGCCATGCCTGATCATTTACATATTTTCTATGGCTGCTTTTATACCACAACAGCAGAGTTAAGTAGTTGTGACAGAGACCACATGAACCACAAAGCCTGACATTTTTTTTTTGGGGGGGGGGTGAATTTTGCTATAGGGTGGGTGCTTTTGGGGGGGGGTGAATTTTGCTATAGGGTGTGTGCACTCACTGGAGAGACAGAGAGACAAAAAAGTGAGAAATTACTCCCCCAGGGAGTATGGCCACGCTACAATCCCTTCTCCTCCATTCTCCTCTCAATTTTAGGTACAGGTGCACATGTACCCGGCACAAGTTTTAAGCCACCAGGTCTAGGACTTGAACCACGGTCACCTATATGGGAGTCCAGTGACGTAACCATTACACCATCTACTGGTCCCAGCCTGACATATTTTTAAATAATTTTTATCGGGACAAGCAGTTGGCGTAATGGCTATGTCGCTGGACTCCCATGTAGTTGACCGCAGTTTGAGTCCCGGATCCAGTGGCTTAAATTCACACCGGGCATGTGGGCATGTGCGCCCAAGATCCCGAGAGGAGAATAGAGGAGAAGGGATTGTGGTGTGGCCATCCTCTCAGGGGGTGATTTCTTGCTTTCTGTCTCTCTGTCTCTCTGTCTTTCCATGAACGCACATGCCCTATAGCAAAAACCTCTCAAAAAACAAAACAAAACAAAAACACACACACACAATAATTTTTATTTATTATTACTATTATTATTTTAAATTTGCTAAAGGGTATGTGTGCTCACCAAAGATACAAAAGAGAAAATGAGAAAGTAAGCCACCAGGTTCCAGATTGAACCATGGTCAGCCATGTGGGAGCCCAGCACCTCAATGACCATGCCCCCTGCTGGCCCCAAACCTGACATTTTTATAATCTGGCTCTTTACACAAAGTTTACTGACCTTTTGTCTCCTCCCTAGACATGGTGGTAGGTGGTAGCTGTGGTAAAGATTTCCTCATTAAGTAGCTTCTCCTAGTTACAATATTTTAGTTATAATATTCCTGGTCCAGTAGCATCCAAGCTTAGTTCTCTGGTCCTTCCATAAATGCTGTAATATCAAATGCTATTTCATACATTCCTTTCTGCTAAATACAGCTAGAGTGAGCTAGAGTGATTTTCATTGTTGCTATCGAAAACCCTGAATGAAATAGTAAGAAAAGACTAAGAATTAGGCTATAAAATTAAAAAACAAGAAAAAACTTACATTATGTATCATCTCGAAGTACTTCTGACAGGCTACCTGGTAGTGTGTCCCCTTTACCAGATCCAAAATCTAAAACAAATGAGAAGAGAAAAAAAAATAGAAATTAAGTTTCTTCTAAACCACTGCAGCTCACAGTTGTTGGTCTTTTCATAATCTTCGTTCCAGATGGGAAATGCAATAAATCATGTAGCATGTTGTACTTCTGCAGCCTGGATACAGTGATAATTCTGACATTATATAGTAGCTGTTGAGGTCAGCATTAAAGCAGAGATGACAAGATATAGTAAGTGATCTTTCTTAACCTACCAACTGTGAATTTTAATAACTTCACCTTGACAACAAGATGAAAACAGATCCTGGTGTTATGACTTTGACAGTTATTATTGTCAGAACATCATGTTACGACATCTTTCCCAAAACTGTAGATATAAATCTAGTAATCTAATGGTTGGTGCATGAAGCAACCAAGTATACTATTTAGATTTTTATTTCCCTCATTACTAGTTTATACAGATACAGCATAAAACACTGCTGTATGCCCATCAGGAAAATGTAATGTAAACTCTTTGGACAAGTATCTGTGGAGTGGGAATGCTTTTACCTTCAATCAGATTTGTCCTTTTTGAAATGAAGTTATTTCTAGTAAAGCTCAGCAGAATATGAGAGTGAATAGTCTATTCTGAACACCTATTAGGAACATCATCCTATCTTTTGTAAATACAATTTGCTTTCCAATTCTACTTCATGTAATCTCTTCAGAGCGGTGCAAACTCCCATCCTTATCAGCAGAGTGCAATGCCAGTTGAAATTTGTAAAGTTTCACCACCTCCCCTCCCCCTCAAATAAATAAAATGTATATTTGGCCTATTTATCAAATATTGTAAAATGCTGGAATTAAGAGATAAGCCGCAAATGAAGGGAAATATACTTCTGCAGAAATGTTAATTTCTCTCCTTCTTCAAGAGGCCAATCTTCTTGTCACAAAGAGAAATGAACATAAAGCCCCAAGTTCCTGCTATCCTCATTACTGAATATAGCGCACATCTTTTGACAGATTCACAAGAAAATTACAGCAGAATAGGCATCACATAGTACTGATACGTACATCCTTGAAAGATTGTTTTCCTGATTGTCATATAGATTGCATTTCTGAATTTCATGTCACCTTTTATTGAGTCTTATATGAAAGACCCATGTAAATGCCAGCCAGTCACAGAACCCTGCATCTGGCCTGTCTGCCTAATTTGGCCTTAAATTGTTAGAGCAAAAATGAAAAATAAATGAATTTAAAATGGAGAAGTCATAAAAATTTCCAAGTAATGGCAATGCTTAGAGTTTATATTCTCTGATGCTTTTAATACACAGATATTCAAACTGTGTTGAGATGAATTTGCAAAGAATTATCAGCAAACAATGATTATAATTATTAGTATCTGTGAATTAGAATTTTGAAGAAGACTTCAATCATAAATATGAATTTTAAATGATGCCATAAATTACCTAGAAAGAAAATGAATTCACAAAACTTAACAAGTTCAACCATGTGGTATGAGGGGCCCTCAAAAGGTTGGTGAAAAAATGGGGCCAGTTCCATGGCATGGTGGTAATCTACTGCTCAAGGAAGCTTGGTCCCACATGGTAACCGCGATTGTAATCCCTGGCCTGGTCAGCCTGAAACACTTCAGGCACATGCACAAGTGCCCACGGTCTGATGGTCTGCAAGGCCAAGGAAGGGAATTTCAGCATAACCAGACTCCATGGAGGGTGCTCCTCCCTTTCACTCTCATATGAATGTACTCTCTGTCATGAATGAAGAAAAAACAATTTTTTAAGTCTGTGCAAAAGTGGACTTCAAGTATGAGTTTACCTTGACCCATAACATTTTGAATTCCATGTATAGCTTTTTTTCATGATACATTGTCTACTAATTTCTTGAAGACCCTTCATATGTAAGTTCCTCTTCCATAAAAACAATGCATTCAGCATTTTATTCTTTATATATACATTTCTTATTTTATGTATATAAAATAGAAGTAATACATTTAAATATTTTTTTGCAAACCAAGTATGTAATTTATACATATACAATCTAGTATACATGTTTGGTAAACACACTTTAAAGAAATATGTATAAGAAACATTAATTATATATTTATAAATAGAGAGAGAGAGGGAGGGAGAGAGGGAGAGAGGGAGAGAGTTTTACTTTGCTATAGGCACATATGCTCGCTGGAGAGACAGAGAGAGAAATCATCCCCCAGGGTGGATGGGTCAAATCCCAATCCTTTGTTCTTTAGTCTGCTCTCAGGATTTTAGGCATGCATGCACACTCCCCCAACATGACTTTCAAGTCACTGGATCCAGGACTTGAACCGTGCAATTGGCCATATGCGATCCAGCTGCCTTAACCTCCATACCACCTGTAGTCCCTTAATAAAAAATACTCAGTTGGGATATAAATATATATAAAAAAGTTAAATAAAACTGACATATAAGCCACAGAGTGTGAGAAAAACAAATTTATCAAAAATTGTAGGTTCTATCCAAAGATACCAAATTTAGATTAATCACACAATAATCTCCCTTGCCATCCTACTCTACTCCTTCAGTGGTCTATTCCTTAACAAAAATAATTTACTTTTACTTTTTGCTTTATTTTTCTAGAATAAATCTTTATTTGAAATTTGCCTGCATATCCATAAATAAATTATTCAATCAACTATCCTTAAACAACTTTAACAAATATGCCAAAACATATTTGAGGTGAACAAAGTTTCTGTACATATGCAAAGTTCTGATTGGAAAAAAAAAAAAAAAAAAAGACAGGGGGACCAGCAGTTAGTGTAATGGCTATGTAGCTGGACTCCCACGTAGTCAGACCCGGTGGCTTAAAGTCATGCCGGGCACGTGTGTGTGTGTGTGCTCAGGATCCTGAGAGGAGAATGGAGGAGAAGGGATTGTGGTGTGGCCATCCCCCTTGGGGGGGTGATTTCTCGCTTTCTATCTCTCTGTCTCTCTCTCTCTGGCGAGCGAGCGCACATGCCCTAAAGCATAAAAGAACCTCTTAAAAAAAAAAAAAAAAAAGACAGGTTTTTTGTTTGTTTGTTTCTTGTTTGCTAAAAAAGCTATTCTAAGACACATAAATTTAAGCCAAAGGGAGATACAGGTGGGGAAGGAGAAAGAATACTTAGTGTGATGGCTAGTTCTGGATGCCAATTGACTGGATGAAGGAATGCTAGAAATCTGATAAAGCATTACTTCACGTATGTCCACAAGGGTGTTTACAGAAAAAATTAACATATGAGACTGCAGAGGGCTAGATGTGGAAGATCTGCCCTCAATGTGGTTGGACATGATCTGATCAGGAAGGGGTCCCGAGAGAAGAAATACAGAAGCTGAATGACTGACTCTCTTTTGAGACAGAGCAATATAGACTTCTGTTCCTCACACATCAGAACTCAAAGCTTGTCTGCCTTTGGACTCCAGGATTCACACCAGCAACCCTCCAGGTTCTCAGGCCTTCTGCCTCACACTGAGTTAACGTTACCACCAGCATCCCTACCTCTGAGGCCTTCACGCTCGAACTGATCCATGTCACCAGAATCTCAGAAGCTCCGGCTTGCAGATAGCCTGTAGTGGGACTTCTTGGTTGACATATCGTGTGAGCTAATTCACCAGTAAATCCTGTCTTACATGTCTATATACAATCTGTTGTTTTTGTCTCCCTACAGAACCCTAATACACAGACTAATGGAGATTAAGGGTACAAAAAAAAAGAAGCTATTGAAGCTTGTAAAAGAAGTATTTTTTGAAGAGAGTAGGTATTATTGGTGGGTATTATAATCTTCTTAAAGATAAATGTATTTTCTTAAATTAGGGGTGTCTGTCTTATGAAGATTATTTACTGCAGAAAGAATAAAAAAGCTATATGCAACCCAGTGAGCTTACTTTCTGTAAGAGGACTATTAAGAACGTGCTTTTAAAATATAGAAAATATGGAGCTGGCAGGTGATATGGTGATTGAGGAGCTGCACTCCCGTATGGGTGACTGCAGTTCAAGTCTTGGACCTGGCAGTTTGCTTTCTCAATTTCACTCAGTCAGGACCAGCAGCTAGCATAATGGCTATGTCGCTGGACTCCCACATAGTTGACCGCGGTTCGAGTCCCAGACCCGGTGGCCTAAACTCATGCCGGGTGCGTGTGCGTGCGTGCCCAAGATCCCGAGAGGAGAATGGAGGAGAAGGGTTTGTGGCTTGGCCATCCCCCTGGGGGGTGATTTCTCGCTTTCTGTCTCTATGTCTCTCTCTTTCTTTCTAAACAGCACACACACCCTATAGCAAAAACCTCTCCAAAAAATAAATAAATAATTTCACTCTATCTCTCTCTGGTCAAATTAAAATAATAACAGTAATAATGAATCAAATTAAATAAAAAATGTTTTAAATATATATATATGTAGAAAGAGAGAGAAAAAATATTAAATATTATTCTAAAAACCAACTAATTTTATATATTATACATTATATACATTTTATATATATATGTGTGTGTGTGTGTGTGTGTGTGTGTGTGTGTGTGTGTGTAGTTTACCTTGAGATTATGATCTGTATTACAGAGATACAGTATTAAAAAAAAAAAAAGGAGACATTTTTATGGACCAACGAATAGAGTTTGTTTTTTTTTCTATGAGTAAATGGAGAGCTATTACGATGGTGTAAAACAGGACAAAAGTGGCATGACGTACCTCCTGCCTGCTGTGTTGAGAATGTACTGGAGAAGGCAGGGGTAGAAACAGGGAGTTCACTGCAAGAATCCAGGGAACAGATGATGGATTTTTGGACCAGGACAATAAACACAGTAGTGGTAAAAAGTGGTCAGATCTAGAGATAGCATTTCTCACTGAATGGATATAAACTGTTTCTGATAAGCAGATGTCCTACAAGAAAATGTTCAACAAGAACTTCTTTACCAATGTTTTAAAATAATGCATTACATAGGGCCAATAGGTGGTATGGAGGTTAAAGGACTAGATCCCACACAGCCGACTGCACAGTTCAAGTCTCTGACCT